CGGCGTGAAACCTAAAGGATACATAGGTTCCTGAGCATATCCTCTATTTTTTGCATCATACTGTCTTGTGAATTTGCAATGCTGGATTCAATCTTCTCTAACTTCATTCTCATTTTTGCTTGTTCTTTATTATGCTGTTCCTCGAGACGTTGTATTTTATCCTCCATTTTCTTAGTAGATTGTCTAGTACCGTTGTGATGTTGAATTTCTCGTTTGGCCAGAATAACTGCGATTGAAAATCCTTTTGATATTATTATTATTTTTTTTGAATTTTATTTAATGAATGTTTGTCTTAATGTAAAATAAAAATCATGAAGAAAATAATGCAATGAATAATGAATGTATGAATGTATGCAAAAGATATTGATCCCAAAAAGTTAACTATCATAGAACAACTTCCATCGGCATACAAAAGTTTCTTTATAATAGTTCATAACTACAGATACGACATAGCTTTCCTATTAAGCTATATGATTTCTTTCATCAACCATGACATCTTCTTTCCAAACTTAGAAACTGGATCAACGTGATGCTCAATAATTTTTTCTTCTGCAGCTAACTCCCCAACATATTTGGCGACTTCGCTCATTTGTACCATGGCCTCGAATACCATACTATTTCTTTCTTCATTTCTTTCTTCAAAGAAGTCAGTATATTTTTGCCATTGTTCATTAGTTCCCTCAAGAGTCTGCTCTAATTCAGTGATTCTGACTTGACAATTGTGCAGAGTTTTTTCAAGATCTCGGATTCATCTTCGTAGAGAAGCGTTCTCCTCATAACTCTCTTTAAGATCACTAGTTCCTAGATGAAACTTCTCTTGGAATAATGATTCTTCAAGTTGCAAGATGTAAGTATTAAACTCTGAGTTTTTGTTTCTAGACTGATCCAGATCCTCTTCAAGTTTTGTTTGTGCTTCTTGTGTTCTTTGACTGGTTTTCTGGATTTGCACATTTTTGTTTCTACATCGTTGCATCCAAGTACTGGCCACTTCTTGTTCTACTTCAAGTATGGTGTTGAAATTCTTCCTCTCCAACTCCCATTTTTCCTTTTCAATGTCGAATTCTTCAATCCTTTGGCCCTTGACTTCAAGTTCGACAATCAAATTGTTCATTTTAGATTCAAATCCCTTGAACATGGTGTTTTTCTCAACCTCAAACCCCTCAAGCATGATGTTCTTCATATTTTCTAATTCTTTAGCTCGATCTCTTTCTTTCTGTATTTCATTCATAATCTCGCGATTTTCAACTTTGTGCTTTATAATTCGCTCCCCAACCTCAAAATCTTCCATTTTCTGCTTTCCTTTCTCAAGGCTTTTGAGTAAACGATTATTCTTTCATTTCAAATCTTTAACTTGGCATTTCTAAATGTTCAATCCTTTGGTCATCTGTGCTGTTGCTTTGCTCGATCCTGATGCTCTCTGAGATTTGTGTAGCTCAAGGTAATTCTTCTTTAATGTTCTGAATTCACCATCAACTTTTTCTTTGTTTTCCCTTAGCATTGCACATTGTGCTGAATGAAAGTCAACGTCGACGCCCAACATAGCTTTATCTCATCTCATTTGCTCTAATTCTTTCGACCAACCTTCTCTTTCTTCTTCAAACTCAGCTCTTAGGATTTCTATCTCTGATGGAACTACTCGAATGCGATCCTCCATAGAGATATCCTCATTTTGGTCTGGTAGAGGAATATTTTAATTTTTCCTGACAGACTTTCATTCCTCATAATCATGAGTTAACATTACTTTTGCTGCTTTGGCTCAAATACAACAAGTTTTTTTCCAAGCTGTAACGACATCCATGACGTTTCTTTTGTAATTTTAGCTATGAAATGTGAACTCAGACAAATGCAATCCAACAGTAACGGGAACAAATTGACGACCCTTGTACTGCCTTATAACAAGAAGTGGTGCATATCCAATTCCTCCCCACAAACCGAGCAGCATCACCCAATTGTAATCACCACATTTGTAAAAGAATTCCCTTTGAAGTTTTCACGGGGCACGCCAAACGATATAACAATAGTGTACATCCAGAAAATTGTCCACCTCCTAGCCTTCTGCAAGCGCTTAATGATCGAAAAGTCTCTGCTAGAATTGCAGAAGCAAGATTGACCCTTTTTTGTAGCTGCTCGAACAAATCTACCACTGCAGCCTCATTGTATTCCAATGCTTTCGGGAAGATGACCATACCGTATATACCCAGAGCAAAGAGATCAAATCGTACTTATCATCTGGATGAATCTGAATAATTTCTTTGATGTTGGTCCAAGCAATGCCTTCACCCTCGCCCTTTTGTTTCGTGCGGGTTATTATCCATTCCTCTCGTACTCCTGTAATCTTTGCTAATTTAACTAGGAAAGGTTGAGTTTTAACTGACCTTGAATAAATTCGATTCTCCAAAGCCCCTTCTATATGTAGCAAAGTTGCGTACTCTTCAATAGTAGGAACCAAATCCTCCTTATTGAAAGTGAAGCAATTATAACCGGGATTCCAGAATTGAATTAGGGCTCGAAGTAAGTCATCATCAACTTCGACATATAGCAAATATGGGATATCCCTGAATGACTAGTAGAACTGCATCTTTCTATTTGAATCCCAACTCTCCCAAATGCCTCGTAAATCTTGCATATAATTTCTTTTTAGCGAAACTGGAGCATAACTTGCCAACTCGGGTACATAATCATCCTGCAGACTGTCTCCCCCTTGTCTCTGTAAGTCTTCAGCCCACTGTCTTACTTCTGAGTTTGGAACTATTTGATTTGAATACTTTTTATCCATAGATGAAGGTTTTCCAATGAGACGATTAACTTGAAGATCAATACCTTTTATCCTGTATGATGCTATGCAAACAACAAAAATAAAAGAACACACAAAAAGAAATGAATTAGTTCACATAATAAAGGAAAAAATAATTTAATAATAATGTCTACCTAAATATCTCTATTTAAACATGCTTTCTACATGCTTTAAATAATTTAAATTCACATGCAATTTATTCAGCAAGAAAATAAATAAATAAATTAAAAGGAAAAAGTTAGAATTCATTTCTCCTTTGTATACACCTATTTTGGGACAAAATTTTGGCATGACTTCAGATCGGAAGAGTTTCTAGGGTTTACTATATATGCAGAGTTTCAGTTTTAAGAGTAAAGGTACCTGGATTGTCCTTGTTAGTGCCTCCTTGGGCTGCTAACCCTCAATCCTAGTCCATCACAGACTAAAGTGGATCAAGTTCAATTCGAGGGGACACACTTCTCTATGCCTGACACGGAGAATAAATTCTCACGAAGACATAGAGCATATGAACCCCGAAAGCTACTTGCTAGGTCTGACACGGAGAATAAATTCTCACGAAGACGTCGCTTTCACTCCCACTTAAAAGGGACAAGCTTAATTATAAAGCTTATGTTATGCAATGTACGTGTTGTGTGTGAGGAGAAATGTTCAAACCTCTGACAAATAAATAAATAATGAAATTTAATACTTGAAAATAAAATAAAAATATTAAAAAATAATATACATATAAATATTATGAAAATAATAAGTATATAAAAATTTTGAAAAGAAAGAATTATAAATTAAATATATGAATTTTTAATTTCTAATTAATAGAGACAATTTATAATTGATTTTAAAAGCTTGACCGATCCCCAGCGGAGTCGCCAAGCTGTCGTAACCGATTTTTGCTCGGGCACGAAATTTTACTTGACGGGAAAAATAATGTGGATAAAATGATTTTGATTTAAAAATATTTTAGGAGTCACCATTGACCTTTTTGAATTAGGTAGGTCAAATACCTAAAAACAATCTTTTAAAATAGTTTTTAAGAAAACATAATTTAAAAGATAAACTGATCTGTGTATAACAAAAAAATTTTAATAAAGAAATGATTCGCGATCGATTACGTTTAGGGAAGGATTAACACCCCTATAACGCCCAAAATTGGTACTCATTAATTATAATTTGTCTCTATTATTAGAAATTTTAAAAATTCAAAGATATATTTAATTTATAATCTTGTTATTTCAAATTTATAATTTTAAGAAAATATATTAATTTATATATATAAATAAAATATTTATTTATTTAGAAATATCAGAAAAGGGTTTCTAGGTGCTTTAAGACAGCTCTTTTCTTAATATTAAAAAATAAATAAATATTAAAATATTTATCTAAAATTAAAAATCGATATAATTTATAAAAGTAATATATTTAATTATTTAAAATATCAGAAAATGAACATCCAGTTGCTTTAAGACTGCCATTTCTTAATATTGAAAAATAAATATTAAAATATGATTAAAATGATTTAAAAGTAATTTCTTAAATTTATAAATAGGATTTTTATAAAATAAATAAATAAATATTATTTATTATATATATATTTACATGACTAAATAATAATAATTAAATATATTAACATATAAATTTAAAATATAAATAAACAATAATTAAAATTAAAATTAAATATAAAAAGTAATAAAACTTATAATTAAATAATTGTATTAAAACTAGTGGCCAAATTATAACATTTTAAAATTAGAAATCCTAATTATTTATTTAATTATTTAAAATTACGGGGACTAAACATGCTATTTTACCAAATTATTACTTTAGGGACTAAAATAAAATTATATAAAATTCGAACATCAAATTAAAATAAATTAAAACATGTAGTTCGATCAAAATAATAATTACTAAAATCATAATGGATAATTCAGTTATTTTACCTATAATTAAATATAATTAAATCAGTGACCAAATTATAAAGAAATTAAAATTCATGTGCCGAATTAAAGAGATCTAAAATTTGATTCAGTGACTAAAATATAAAGTCACAAATTTATAATGGTTGCGGGTATAATTTACCCGTTCAAAATTACATCCATACCCCTCCCCAAAACAGCGTCGTTTGGGAATGGGTATTTAAATCCCTTATAGCCGGCCCTTCGGGCCATCTTCTTCATTTTCTTATTTCTCATTCTCTCTCTAGCTGAGAGAGATGAGAACTCTCTGTCCTCTCTCTATATTTCCCTCGTCAGAGGGAAACTGGTCGCCGGCCGACAGCTGTCTGCCGCCGCAATCCTCTGTCGCCGGCTACCGTACATGGTAGCCGGAACTAAATTTTTTACCCCAAATTAAAGACCGTTTTTTATCACAAATATGGTTTCTTTTTTTTTTACATAAAAACCTTAAATCACCCTAGATCTAAAAAACCCCGAAGGTTTTTTACCTTCGATGGCTTTGTTTTTCTGGTTTCACGTGAAGACCCCGACGGCCGTGGTAAGTGTTTTCTTGTTTCTTTTCTTTTTCTTTTCGAATGGTTGTTGTGGGTTGTCTTTTTGGTTGCCTTTCGTTTTTTTTCTTTTGCAGGTGAGATGGTTTTTATAACCATCTCCGGTGATGGCTTCGGACTGGGTAAAGAGGTTCCCTTCGGTGAGTCACCGAACTTGTGGTGACTCACCGAAAAATGGGGACACGTGTGCGGTTGTTGTTGTAGCAGCAAGGTTTCTGGAGTCTCCTGTTGGCGCCGTGGCAGCGGCTGGAAGCAGAGGCGGCGGCGCGTGGCCCTAGGGTTATGATACCCTAGGTTTTCAAGCTGGTGCATCTGGGACTGTTGGATCTCATTAGATCCAACGGCTGATGATTGAGGGCGGCTGGAGAAATTGATACAAAACCTAAATGGGTTTAGGGTTTGTTTGTTGGGTCGGTCTTGAGTTGGTCTCTTGTAACTGAACCGTTTTGGGTCTGTAATGTAAATAATAATAATATTAATATAAATAATAATAATATAATTATAAAATAATAATAGTAATGAATAAAATAATAATAACAATAATAATAATAATAAAAACAAATGGATGAAAAATTAGTATCTTCACTTAATATGTACAAACCACTGATTCTCATTTATCAAGAAAAAAAAGGTTTTCTCATCAGAAAAGCTCACAATTATATAGACTGTGATTATGAGGGGAAGATGAGGAAATGAGAGCAAGTTAATAATTAAAAAAATTGAAAATGAACGGACGATCATAAACAGGACTTTCTTTCACCTAGAAACCATCTGCCTTTAAAACTCTAATAAATAAGGAATAAATTAAACAAAAATAACAAAGCTACCAACTTACAATTCTTCTAAATCAATAACTTTAATAGCAACTTCTTTCTCCAGTTCCTTATCAAACCTGCTGATCAAGAGAGGAATCAGCTACCCATCTCATTTTCATCAATCATGATTCATGATTTAAACAGTCATAGCATGTCCAACGTGATTATAGCTTAAGACCCTGTTAGAGATGTCCTGCAGATTGAAGTATAACTAGCAGTTACATGGTCAAACAAGATAAAGTACCACACATGCCTCAAATGTGAAACAGAATGTCAGTCCTATGACTAATTTAAAAAGGATGAATGTCAGTACTACAACAATTACCAACAGATATTCCAGCACCTTACATGATGTGTTCCAAGGCATTTGACATGCCATTCAAAAATAGGCAAATAAATATGACAGTAAATGGCTCACTAGAGCACCCTATTTCAAAAATATCAGCCTAGTCTATCTGATAAACTCAAGAAAAAGAGAGAAAATACCAGCTTGACTTGATAGGACAGAGGAGATACCAGCTATAACATAATTGGCTCTATATCAAGAGGAATTTGTTTTCTTTATATTCTTTACTAGCTTTTTGTATGATTGATGTTTTACGTCTCGGATCAAGTTGGATTTGAAACTTTAAAAATCAAGGGATTTGATTAACAGAGTAGTGAGTTGGAGCGAGAGAGGGAGTTGTCATCTTGTCACTTTCTCAGTGTTTCCTCTTCAGATCCGATCCACATCAGATCTGCGGTTTCTGTTTTAGATTCAATCAGGCCAAGGTTCAGGTTTCGATTTTTGTTTATTATTGTTCCCTCGCTCTTATCTAGATCTGTTTCGTTACATTTTATTGGATTCGGATTTCTGAATTCTGATGTTATTGATTTAATTTTCATTTCTCCAGATATAGTTTAATTTCAGCTCATTTTGATTCTTTTTCCTGTTTTTCTTGAGATCTGATCGTGGTACTCGACTCGCCGACGTCTTTCTTCATTTTCCCTCTTTCTTTCTTTGGTGATTTCATATCTCTTTCTTTGTTTTAATGTTTTGAAATAATTTGAATGCGTGAATTTTGAAGGTATTTTTAGGATAGTGAAAAATAAATTCTGCGGATTAGTGGAATCTGCATTTCATTTTGGGGAAGAAATTCACTTTCATGTTATTCGATCCAAGCTCTTCATTTTTCTCTTTATTTTTTATGCCTTCTTATTTATTTACTCGATCTTTTGTTTTTTTTTAATAATCTTTTGTAGATTCCATTCTTGGGTTTCATAGTTTTTGTTGTTTCATCGGTTTTTTCCTGTATAATCAGTAATTATTTGTGGGTTTGGTTAATTTATTTGGACTCTAATAAGAAATTGCAAGGGGTTTCCTCTAAATTTTCGACTGTTATTTATTTAAAGCTTTGTGTATCTGTTAATCTTCTCTTTGGCATTGCTTGTTATTGGCCTTTGCATTTTTAATTAAGTTATAAATCCAATCATTGGTTTCTAGTTGTTGGCTTAAAGTTAAGTAAGATAATGTTAATTTGTCTTAAAATCGTATTTAGTAACCAACTAGGCTTCTTAGTACTCCTCAATTCTCTAGCGTTTTATTGGTGCATCTTCTGTCTTCTTTGGATTCCTTTTTCATAGTTCCTCATAGTTTCGGCTATAGATGATTACTTGAGGTCATGTCCTTCTTTTAGATCCCATAGGGCGTATAGGGGGAGGGCTCGACAGAGTGGTGTCAAGGAGACTAGACTTAGAGTTTGTTCGTTGAATGTAGGCACATTAAATGCTAGGCTGTTGGAGCTGACCGACGTACTTAGTAATAGGAAAATAGATTTTGCATGTATTCAGGAGACTAGGTGGAAAGGGGCTCGCGTCAGAGAGTGTAATGGGTACAAGTTGTGGTATTCAGGCGTAGATAACGCTAGAAATGAGGTGGGTATCTTGGTATCCTCTAGGCTCAAGGAAAATGTAGTTGAAGTTTGTAGATACCGGGATAGGATCATGATGATTAAGGTTATTACAGAAGCGGAAGTGGTGAATGCCCTTTCAGTGTACGCCCCACACGTTGGCCTAGGGGAAGGGGAGAAACGTTGCTTCTGGGATCAGTTAGATGATGTACTTAGGAGCATTCCGGAGGACCAAAGAGTTTTCATAGGGGAGACTTCAATGGCCATATAGGTAGTGCAACCGACGGGTATGATGGTGTACATGGGGGTTTCGGTTTTGGTAGTAGGAACGAGGAGGGGCGTACGTTGCTTGAATTTGCTACTGCATACGATATGGTGGTCACTAACTCATTCTTTAACAAGAGAGATATAGACTTAATTACGTTCCATAGCGGGGGATATTGTACCCAAATCGACTACATCCTGGTTCGAAATCGGGATCGAGGGGATTGCATTGACTGTAAGGTGTTCCCTGAAAAGGCATGTGCATCACAACACAGATTGTTGGTTTTGGTGTTCCGTATTTTCCACGGGCGGAGCACTCATAGGAGGGCTAAACTTGGTAAACCTAGGATCTTTTGGAATAACTTACATAGAGCGACAGCTGATGACTTTAGGAGTAAGGTTTTGTCTAATACAGGTTTTGTAACTATAAACTCAAATAATGCAGATATGTTATGGAAAAATATGGCAAATTCCATCAGAGAGGTTGGCAAAAACACCCTTGGGTTGTCGATAGGGAAGGTCAAGGAACATAAAGAATCATGGTGGTGGAATGACGAAGTCCAAACTAAGGTGAAGACAAAGCAAACTTGCTTCAAAGAGTTTCTACAATGCAATGACGACGAAGAAAGATCGAGAGCTAAACAAAGATACAAGGAGGCAAAGCGGGAAGCCAAGAAAATGATGGCTAAGGCAAAGGATAAGGCATACGAGGAAATGTACAAGAGATTAGATACCAATGAAAGACAAAACGACATCTTCAGGCTTGCAAAATCCAGGGAGAATAGGAAAAAAAGATCTAGGTAGCATTAGGTTTATAAAGGACAATAATAGTGTTCTTTTAGTGAAAGATCATGATATTAAGAGGGTTTGGGGTAGTTACTTCTTTGGCTTATTTAATGACGGTGCCTCTCCCTGTAGAGATAGTACTTTTGATGGGTCTGTTGACCATCTTACTACGACCAATGACTGCCCTACAAGTAGGATTGGGTATGAGGAAGTCAAAATGGCTCTTAGAAAGATGGGGAGGGACAAAGCTGTCGGTCCAGATAAAATTTCTATCACTGTGTGGTTGGCCCTAGGAGAATATGGAGTTAAGTGGTTAACCAACATCTTTAATAGTATTTTAGAGACTGCCAAGATGCCAGAGGAGTGGAGAGAGTCTATGGTGATACCAATCTATAAGAATAAAGGAGATCCTCAACGTTGTGGCAACTATAGAGGTATTAAACTACTCAGTCATACTATGAAGCTATGGGAATGGGTGATAGAGGCTAGGTTGAGACAGGTTACTAGGGTTTCAGAAAACCAATTTGGCTTTATGCCAGGCAAGTCTACTACGGAGGCGATTCATCTACTTCGACGGCTTATGGAGAAATATAGGGAAAAAATAGAGATCTCCACATGACGTTCATTGACCTTGAGAAGGCGTATGATAGCGTTCCTCGCGATACGATCTGGAAGACCTTAGAAACGAGACGGATCTCAACTTCTTATATCCGGGCGATTCATGATATGTACTGTTGATCTACTACATACGTCAAGACTACAGTTGGTGACACCGAGACATTCCCGGTGAAAGTCGAACTCCACCAGGGGTCGGCTCATAGCCCTTACATCTTTGCCTTGATTATGGATGACATCTATTGTGCGACACCAGACGGTGTTCCATGGTGTATGCCTTTCGCTGACGACATTGTCCTAGTTGCTGAAACAAAAACTGAGCTGAATAGTAGACTGGCTACCTGGAAGACTGCTTTGGAAGAAAAAGGTCTAAGGATCAATATTGAAAAGATAGAGTATTTATATTCAAACTCCAGTGGGAACCAAAACGATGAAGATGCTCAAGTATGCATAGAAGGACACGTTCTTCCCTCAAAGGATTGTTTCAAGTACCTAGGGTCTATGATACATAGAGATGGGGGTGTAGATGATGACGTTACACACCGTATAAAGGTGGGATGGCTAAAGTGGAGGGATACTACTGAAGTTTTGTGTGACAAGAAGGTGCCTCTAAAACTTAAGGGAAAATTTTATAGAATGACAATAAGACCAGCGCTGCTGTATGGATCAGAATGATGGGCAATCAAGAAGGATCACGTAAGGAGGATGGAGGTCGCAGAAATGAGAATGCTTCGATGGGCATGTGGTAGGAATCTGTGGGA